CACACACACACACACACACACACACACACACACACACACACACACACCAGTGCTGTGGTGCAGGAGGCTGACAAGGCCACACCCACCATGTCCATGCCCACCCAGCAACTGGGCAGAGAACTGCCTGCTAAAAGTTTCTCACCCCTGTACATCTCATGATCAAATTACCTGTTTTTTAACACATGGGTCACACTCTGACCACTCTTCCCAGTCACCAAGTTGGCAGTTGATGGGACATGCTTGCTGGCTACAAGCCCGAGATTCAGCCCATTGGCACAGTTGGTCACAAAAATTCTTATTATAATAATCATCTCGCACTATTGCCCTGCAAGATGAAGATATTGTACATTCATCCCGAATCTTATGACAATGAAAGAAAATGAAGATGGGGAGATGCTACTTTTGTCTATGCTGCAGAGATGTACTCCATCTAGTCATCCATTTAGCATTTAGCAAGCATCACAAGGGTTAGCTATGGATTTTGGCAGGCATGGCAAATAGCCACATGTAGGTATAAAAGCTCATTGTTGTGAGGATGGATCCCAAACCAGAGAGGAATCTTATCACACGAAGAGCTTCATGCTCTCTATTCCTACTGCTCTCTCAAAAGGAAGAGAGGCAGAAAAGTGAGTTTGGAAGATCTCAAACCAAGCATTGGCTCAGGTTTTGATTAATATAAGCCTTTCCTTTAACAGAAGAGAATACTGGTTGGAAAGGACCTTAGATGTCTTTTGTCCAACACCTGCTCAAGCAGAAGACCCTATAGCAGTTATGGCTAACCTCCTCGAGTGCCGAAAGCATGTGCACTGGCGTGCATGCTGGCGTGCCCGCACCCATAATGCAATGCTTCTCTCACACAACCATCCCCTCCACATCCCCCGTGCATACGCACATGACCCCCACCCCTGTGCTCACCCTGCGGATGCGCGCACAATGTCCCCCCTTTTGGCCTCACATCCCAAAGGGGGAGGAAAAGCCTTGCATCTCAAAACAGCATTGAGAGGGGGGGGGACCTCCTTTTTCCCCTTCTCACCCCTGTTTTGCGAAGGGAGGACTTTCCCATTCTCAGAGCTGTTTTGTGATGGGAGGCTTCTCAAAATGGGACGCCCCCATTTCTTTGCTCCCCACAATCCATCTCTCTCTGTCTCTCTGCCCCCCCCCCACCATGGCTCAGCATGAAGAACTGGGAGGAACCATGCAGAGGAAAAGGAGGAGAAAGGAAAGTGGGGGGAGAAATGGGGGAGAAAGAGAGGGGGGCAGAGAAAGAGTGACACACAATGGGGGAATTTGGGAGATGCTCCGTCTAAATACTGAGCCTCTCTGCTTTTTGGGGGAAAAGGGGCGATCCCAGGAGGGGAAAGGAGAGGGGGTCCTTGGTGAAGAGCTACCCCTTATTCCCCCCATTCCAGTTAAGCCTTTAAGTCCCAGTTTGGGACCCAGCCTTTCTAACTTCATTTGGGATCTTCTAACATAGGATCTTCCTTTACTCTCCTCGCCACCTTTGCTGGCACTTTCAGAACTTCTCTTTGTTGGGCAGGCGATTGGGGGTGGGGGACACATGAGAACCTAACGACTCCCTCCCCAAAGCCAGGAAAAACATAGAGGAGGAAAAGTAGAAGCTCAACCAGCTGAGAGCTGGGCGCTTTCCTGCCTTCCATGCGCAAACACTGTGACCCATAGCCTACGGGAATTGACGTCTTCTACCACCACCACCACCACCACCCACAACTCTCTCTGCTGTTTCATTTAATCCTTGGATCTATTGAACCTTCCTTCTCATCCCCGCTCTGCCCCACCACCAAGTCCAAGCCCCCAAATCCTTTTCTTAAAAGCAAGCCCACCGGGGCTCAGTATCTTCTCTGTTGCATTTCTTTTTTTCTCTGTTTCTCTTTCTCCCCCATTTCAGCCACCAATTTCCTTCCTCCTCCTTTTCCTCTGCACAGTTCCTCCCAGTTCTTCATGCTGAGCCATTGGTGGGGTGGGGGTGGGGGGTGGAGAGAGAGAGAGAGAGAGAGAGAGAGAGAGAGAGAAAGAGAAAGAGAAAGAGAAAGAGAAAGAGAAAGAGAA